TTATGCTCACCCTACCAACAGGTCCAAGCTCCCGGTGAGCAGAATTTCCTTCCCAGCAGCAGCTGGGCTGTGGCTGACCTGCTCGAAGAGCAATCTGCACTGTGTCTCCTAGAGAAAAAAAGCAACATCCTACAATGCAGCTGGCAGGAGGAAAGTGTTAGTATCCTATTAATTAATGAAATAGCTCTGCTCTGTTAGTGTTACAACAGCTTCCTGCCTCTTGAAGCAAGGAAAGTTTCTGGTTAGGGTGGTGGATTATATACTTGAGCTACAACAGCTTACACCAAAGGCTACTTTGTGACACTTGCTTCTCCTTATGGGGCTGACTACTAGCAGCCACTGGGCTTTTTGGTTTTAAGATAAATACCAGCATGAGATCTAAGCTGGGAGGGGAATAAAACAGTAGCTAGAAAAGCAGGAGAATTATCTGCTACATTTGCAATTCAGGTCATTTTTTTACAAGAAGCTTTGCACAGAAAATCTAAAACAAAACCCATAAATAAATACTTTGAAGCCTGCATCAATATGAACCAGGCTTCCTCTTGGTCATATGGCAGGAGACCTCATCTGCATGTAGCTCACTCAGTCTTAAGGTGGCACGCAGTTTGCTTAGCTTAGACACTCATTTTTCACATACTTTTAGGCACCCCACTGAGCAATCTTCCAAAAACAGTGCCTTATTCTCTATCTAGTCCAAGGAGAGGAGGTGTTTGCATCTAAGGCAACAGGTATCTCGGAGGGATGAAGGCTGCTATGAGTGTGTCTGTCTGCCTCTCTCCCACATGTTCAACTGCAGATGGGGATGTGGGAGATTTATTGCCAAGCTCCTGGTGTGGTGGATGTGCTGATGAAGATGCCACTGCCACAATCCCTTATCACTACTGTAGCTTGTTCTGCAGCACTCCAACCAAGTGCCACATTGCCCATTCTGTTTTAACACAAACTGTAACATCATTGACTGCTAGGTAAGACAGACAGACTATCTGGATGGGGATTTCAGTGCAGAGAAGGGAAATTAAAAATGCAAAATAGAATAACAGATGGCATAAGCTTCATTAAAATAATATCTTGTCTCCTGGGGATTCCATGAGGATCCATTGCCTTCCAGTGGATATAGAGCCCCTGAGATTTACACTTGGGGATTATTCTGTTCCTCCCTCTCTCCTTATCACAACTCTCTTCTGTTTTCAAAAGGCTTGTAGTATGTGCTCCATCTGGATATGCCTCTTAATAAGGATGTGCTGGAGACATCTCCTAAGCACTAATGTACACCCAGCCCCCCCAGTGCTGTTGGGAGCCTCCTTATAAAGTGATTTGAAAGAAAGAAAGAAGCATGGCTGAGCCTTGCAGTTCCTGACAGAAAGACAAAGTTGGAGTGTTAGAAAAATAAGAAATACATAATTAATAGGGATATAGTATCAATAAGGGTTTAAGATGATGAACTACATGAACTGGGAGATGTTATTTCCCCTTGGTGTGAGGTTCTCCTCTTTTTTGATGTGGCCCCAGCAGCAAGCTAAATGTTTTACTGTTCCACTTACAAACGAGGTGTAACCTTTAGGAAGTCACTGGAAATATAAGCCACCTGTGAAGTTTTTCTTGTACCTAACTGACCCCCCAAGCAAACACGTGGCCAAATATATTTATTCGGAGGGGGAGAAATAACCAACGAAAAGACCATTCAAGCAGCAGGATAAATCTGTGTTCAGTGTGTGCAGCACAGCACACTCTTTCTGTCACACTTCAATCACTGCGGCCTCTGGAAGCAAAAGTTGTATTCATGCTGGGTTGGTATTTAATTGAGCTCACTTGAACCAAGCTTCCAGCAAGCACATATGACAGATTTAGATATGAATCTTCACAGAGTGAAAAATGACATTTATCAACCTTCCATCAGAACATTTGACATTTGAACAATTGATTCTGATTTAACAGTGAAAAATGCCACTATCCATATGGAAAACCTGCAATAGGATTAAAACCCTAGTCGCTACCATCCCCAACAATGGCTCTGCCAGTTAAGCTATTGAACATTTATGTACTACCTTAACTTTGTCTAGACTTAGAGAGATTAAAAAACCAATCCAAATCCTGACAAGTTTAATGCGGAAGAGAAAAAAAAATCTAGCTGGAGGAACAGGGGCCAGAGCTGGGAGATGTGAGCCATTAAACTGCTTGAAAATTGTAAAGGCTGGGCAGATTTTAAGAATAACAGCAGCAGGAGCTGATGTGGATTAAAGGCATGTTACACTGGCTACAGACAATACCGTTAGTCTCATTTTGCCCCAGGTACCTAGAGCTCATCTGGGTATGGTTAAGAGTAGAGAGTCAATCCAAATGCCACTAGATATGTGTTCACCTAATTAAAGAGGCACGCTGTTTCCACAGGCAGAGAGAGGGGTGTTCGAGCAGACTTCTCTCTGGAGACAAGGCACGAAGATGCTTGTCAGCCTTGCAAGACAATTCCTCTTAAGCAGGTAGGTTTCACCCACTATTACCTTCATAAGCATATTGTGGTCAGCACTGAGTATTCACTGGGCAGGAGCGCTAGCTGGAAAGGAGGTCCTGGCAATGGTACACCTCTATCTACCGCAATACTCTACTCTTCCAATACCTCCCTGTGCCTCTTTACTGATGGACAGTAGCGTTTGGCGGTGGCTAAATGAAATAAAATTTCCCTATTTCCCTATTTTCCTATAGGAAAAGCAGAAGTTCTGGCAGAAAGACTGATCTTTCTGTTGTATCTGATCCTTGGAAAAAAGCTGGTAAGCTCTGCAGAAGTGTGACTATGGCGTACTTTCATGTATTAGTCCATTTTAATAATTAGTTATTACTTATTTAATTATTAATTAAGGCTTCCTCTTCCTTAGTCACCTCCAGTTGGTAAATTCCATTTTACAGCAGACTGAGTTTCTCCTGTCATATTTTTCTCACTTCTACTATTCCAATTTTCATGTTTTTTCTCTATGGTATTTCTGAGTCTTTGTTGTACTGATGTCTCCCAAATATGCTACGACTAAATTTTCTTTACCGACTCCTGCTTTTTGTGTCAAAGTCATTAATGAACATATGAATGAAATGAGTGTTGGAGAACTCCATTAGCAATGTCCTTTCTTCTGATACTTTCTCCTTCAACACTACCTGATGCGTTTTGAATTCCTGGGTTTCTCAATCTACTGGCTTTGCTTAAGCACTTAGTTTATAAAACTGAGGTTTGTTACAGATCTACCTCAAATTACCTTTTCATTTAATTTGCGTGAATTGAACTTGTTATCCCTGACACCAAATCTATTTCCTATGATCAGATCTCCTATAATGTCCTCATGACTTACCAATGCCAAGTCTAAAATAGCACCATTTCCTGTCATGTTAGTGAATCTCTGGAGGATATTTTTATTGCCTAGAAATGCGAGAATATCTCAGACTTACCAATAATAGTATCAATTGCTCTCCAACCTGATTCCTGATGTTAAATTATCCAAAACAACTATTGCAGTAGTAATTATCTCTCTAATAACATTACAGAACTCTCTTGGCAGTGAAAAAGGATCCTGGTGGCACACGGCATGCTGGCAGTGATAATCTTTTACCAAACTGTGAGTTGTGCTGTCATTAACACATACTGCTGCTCCCTGCCTTTTCCTGAAAAGCAGCCACTGGTTTTAGAGTATTCATGACTGCAACTGCTGGACAGATCTACTGTCCCAATGCACTTGCTCATATCCTCTGTCAGTAGCTCAAGGTCCTCCACTTTGCTGCATAATCTTGCTGCGTTTGCATATCCAACTTTCTGTCTTCTCCTTCCTAGTCACTCTTTCAGTGAGATCTTGCCTATTCAACTACTTTCTTTTCCTTTGCCATCTATGGGTCTACTCTGTGACATTCCTTTCTGCACTGCTATGACCAGATTTGTCTGATTATTCAATTTACCATGTACTCAGGCAGAGCCTTGAGTCTTCACAAGCGCTCCCCAGCCTTTTCCTGGTGTTTCTTTAAGACTCCTCTTACAAATGAGGCCAACACTAGTGTTTGCAGTAGTACTGCAGGCCCTTGGGCAAAACCTATCTGTTGAGAATATCCCTTCATAATCACACACCAATGCCCAAACTTTCCCAAATCTTCTTCAAACCTTAGCTGTCTGCTGACCTTCCCTATCACTAATTTGGTAGGGGTCAGAGCTATTCCACTGAACATGCGGGCACCCACTTCTTTCAGAGCCTTCCCCAACATGGCATAGTCACCCTCAATTAGCTCCAGCAGCATCCTCTCAATGTAATTTGTTCTGATGTGAAGGACAACCAGAGGACTGCTTCCTGCTCCTATTGGGAACTTTTCCAGACTGATTCCCATTTTTTATCCATGCTCTGAGCAAAAAGCACATTGTTCCTTTGACTTGTCCTTCATCAGGTTCTTGAGGCTGTATGGCACAATAGTGGCTCAGGTTTTGGAGGCAGGACAGCCATGTGCGGATTGCTCTCCTCTTGTAAGCATTAGCCTTGCGAGGAAGCAGTGTATTGTGCTAATTGGATGATTCTGCTTAGCACAAGTATTTGTATGTGAACCTTTACAGACCTACAAGCCCTCCATCTCACAGTAACACAGCTCTACCTTTTCCTGGTAGTGGCCCAAGTCTCTGATCCTTTCTCCTTTGTTTGCAGTTATTCTGTCTTCTTTTTACAGTCCCTCTATATTATCTTCATTCTTTATCTGACCAAGCCTTGATCTTAGCTTGATAAAAATCTGTAGGTTTAAAAAGCTATGCCTTCTTTCAAGGCATAGCTTTCTTCCTCTACCACAGCCCAAGATACAGGGCCCTTATATGTTTGTAGGTCAGTTCCCTCAGCAGCAGAATCACAATGATAAAACTGCTCTGTGAGTTGTTTGAAGTGAGCTGGCATGCTCAGCCACATGCATGGAGATCTGCATACGATCCCATGAGCACCTCACCGTATTTCAGACCTTGGATTCAGCCTTTTCACTCTCCATCAGCAAAGACTCACCTAATTTCACTTGAAGTGGGGACGGCTTATAGTTCATGGCTACAGTCTCTCCCTCTCTCGTATCGCAATCTCTGTCCGAAATAGATGCAGCTGTTGGATCCTGTTAAGAAAGAAAAGGAAACAAAATGGAATTGTTTAGCTAAAACTTATGCAGTCTCTTCTCTAACTGGCTGTTAGGTGAGTCCATCCCCACCCACATTCAGAGGGAGCAGAGAACATGCTGGTGCTTTGAACAGCTGAAATCCAGGAGCAAAACACAGAACTTTGGAAGCACATTTAGTACGCTAGAAGTACCTCTGGAAATGCCAGATTTCAACATCAGACTTATATGATGGATGATACTGGGAATATTATGTGGAGGGTGGGTCATCAGTTCAAATTCAGCCTGGGCTGGCAGTAGTCCCAAACCATTTTCATGTGATGACTCTTTGGAGTGTTGTATGAAATGCATTTACAGTTTCAGCCAAGTTGCAAGTGGACGGGTCAACCTCATGATTAAAACTAAAAAGCCTTCACCACCTGTGTGAAAGTCCAGCTCAGAAGGAACAAGGATTGAATGAGTAGGAGAATTCAATCTCCAGTTCCTCTTGGGATAGGAAGTCTGTGCTTCCCATGCTGGACCTATTTTGTGGCTAAGTGGAAAGATTTAATTTCAGTATCTGTCAGCACAGCACCTTTCACTGTCACTGAAATCCCCTTGAAAACCAAAGCTCCCCAAACACAGAGTCCACTCTATCACGCTTACTTGCAGACAAACTAATCCAGGTAGTGTTGTACTCTATGGTACAGCACATCAAAGGATTGAGAGAGAGACAAACTACCAATTCAGGCAGTGCTACCACTGCTAAAAATATTTAAAGTCCTGTCGCAGCAAACTTCAAACCTGCTGGAACTATATCTACCTAGTACCATAGTGAAAACTAAAATTGGTTTTCAAACATGTTCACTTCTTCCCACCTAGAAGCTACAAACTAAATTGAACATGCATATATATATACATATACGTGTATGTAAGTTTGGATTTATAATAGGTAGAGCTGCACAGGGAAAACAAACATCCAAATTAGGTCCAATATCTGAAGAAACCATCACTTTGTAAGAAATGGAACAAAGCATCAGAAACTAAATACTATAAAATACCATTCCAAACTGGTGAACTGATATTGCCTACCTCTCAGTTTCTGGAGTTTGTATTTTGTACACAATTTCTTATAAAAATGCAACCTATTGTTTGGCACTGACACCTGTACGCAAAGCAGAGTCACTGAGTTTCAAAGCAAGGTACCATTGCTCTTTGCTGTCAGTAAAAAAATCACTCGGTGAGCCACTGTCCCTTCCTCCCCAGTGCCTGCCTTCTCTCTGCAGTGCACATTAGGTCTTTTTAATACACTGTGCTCATGAGATAAAATGTGATTCTTGAATTAGGCTCCAACTTCATAGAAACTGGTCAAATACCATATGTAGGGTTATAATGTTTTATCAAAATTCTGCTTCTTTGCACTATCCAGTAGACTTTGACACTACTTAAAATAGATGGTGCTTACAAGATTTTGCATTCAATGACATTAAATAGATAATGCTGAACCATATGCAGTTTCTTCTGCTTTCCTCTAATGCAGTCGCTGCTGCACTTTTCCTCTAATGCAGCAGTTTAATGTCTGGTTAAAAAGGTTAGAGCAGGTTGCAAACAAACAAGCCAGTCTCCAGGAGAACACAGTTAGGCATAAATGATGAATCACATGCATTTTAGGTTAAAAACCCTACTTTAATAATCACACTAAATGACAAAATACAGCAGTTGAATGGCAAAAATACAGCAGTTGAAATTAAATGAAGCTAAAAGTGAAGTGGTACACAGAAGAAAAACAATTCCAACTTTATAAATGAAAATGATGAGCTGTAGCTAGCTACTGTCACTCAAGGAAGAGATCTCAGATGACAGGTTCCATCAGATGACCAGCTAGACAGACCAGGAATCTTCAGCCAGGGAGAGACAACAGACCAGGGCTATGGGAGAAGTCTAAATAATCCTCAGTGGGGTGAGAAGGTGAATAGGGATCAGCTAGCCCTTATTTTCTACAAGCATGAGATATCAAGTGGCAGTTAACACGCAGCAGCTGGAAACAAGCTCAGTAGTTCCCTATACAGCAGATGATGTGCTGCTGTGGATGCTAAAAGGGGCTCAGGAAAGGGTGAGAAAAATGAATGGAAGGAATATCCATCAAATCCAAAAGCACTGCTTCTGGCTCAGGCTGCCCCCAGGCACAGATCGCTGGAGGGGTTAACTAGGGAGGCGTCACTGTGCGCTCACCCTGTTCTTGTCCTCTCGGGGACACGACACAGGGGTAGGTGAGACCTTTAATCTGACTTGAAATAGCCGTCCTTATTTTCTGTGTGAGAACCTATTCTATGGCCTCAACTGAAGACCAGTTCTTGTGGTATCCTTGTAACGTGGGATCGGTCTCCAACACACCCAGTGGAAGGGGCTGGACCAGAATCCAGGCTGTAGGAAAGGATATTCATGGGAATGGCCAGATAATACAAAGGACACAGCTGTCTCCCAGACATTCTAGAACCTCTCCAAGAGGGATGTGTAAGGTGGTAAGTGGCACCACCTGAGTCCAGGCTTCCTGGATGAGAATCTTTTCTCTGACAGCCTGGGAAAAGGCAGGATACAGCGATTTTTAAGGAGCATGACTCCAAGAGCTGGATGCTTCCTAGTGCTACTGAACACAAGTCCTTGGAGCCCCAATCTGCTGGCTGCAGGAAGGCATGGGAGTAGACATATTATGGTAAAGGACATGGTGCAATGGCCACGTACTGCCTCCTGTGCTGGTGCAATCCAGCATAGAGCCACTTGAGCTCACAGCCAGAAGCTCACATGGTAGAGAAAGGGCATGGCCACCCGGACTAGCTCAGATTCACATTGTTAAAATTGCTCTTAAACTCTTTAAATCAAAACCAGCCCTTACTTTTGTCAGAAGCTGATGTGCTGACAGTAGCTCTTCCTTGTGGGTAACCTGCCAGTGACATTAGACATCCATTTGCATGAACAGAGGGAGGGGAGAAACGTTCTGAGGTGCCTTTGAGGATTTGAACTCTGGTCCTGGACCAGAGGACTCAGCTGGAGCAATCTCAAAGCTGGGCGCTAGACCAAACAAATAGAAAACGCTTCCTAGACCTCCAGAGAAAATAAAGATGATTTTCAAAGAGCAATTCATTCCATCCCGTCTTAGACACTCATCTTAAAAGGAGGTGAATCCATCCCTGGACATGTGTCTCTCTCTCCTCACTGACTACAGAGGAGGCCTGACAACTGGTGGAGACTGCACCCCCACCTCTGACACTGGAGGTAAGAATGATGAAGGACACAGCAGCAGAGTCCATAATAACGCCAGTCCACACCAGGAATTCATCTCCAAGGTTTGGAACGACACTTTTCTGCCCCAGCAGCATGGCACCTCTACAGCAGACCAGCAGGGCAACATGTTACGGCCGCACAACAGACCCATGACTTGCACAGAGGGATCACAAAGCACCAGCAGAGTCTAGGTGAGCACTGCTGCATGCACGGGCCAGGCCCGCTCCCTCCAGAGAGTAAAATGGATCCAAAAGGAAACTGAGCTGGGCCAGAGACAGCATCCCCAGCGCCAGCAGGTGACTATCGCTGGCCCAGGAGTGTCGAGGCACTGTCATATTTCCCATCCATCACTTCATATACATTCTGCAGCAACGCACAGGACTCCATAGTAACAACCCCGGCTGCGAGAATGACAGCATTCCCACAGCAGCTCAGCTGGAGCTGCCTCTTTGCACGAACACGCTTTGCTTCTGTGCATACTGAACGGGTGCATTTCTCTCTCTATAGCTCATCCACCCAGAGAAACATTTACTTGTCTAATTAGCCTGTTGCTTGTGAATGCCTATAAGCACACTGAGACTCACCACGGGCTTTCGCTATTGGAATTCACTTGGCGATTTTGTCCTTTTTTACAAGCCTCCCTCAACTGATGCATTCAGCTCTGACCCCAATGTCAAAATCTCAGCTACGCGGTGGGACCAGTCCCAGGCCAGATGATGTGATCTCTCTCTGCTCGCTGGAGGGCACACAACACTCCCAATCAAAAGGCAAGTGCCGAGCTGTGGCTGCAGAGGCTCTAAATGGCTCTGGGAATTTAATACATTTAAGGGATTTTTTGTTCCTGAGGCCTCCTTATGTCTTCACTCCTAGGGAAAAAATACATTCAATCAGGCCACTGCATGAACATTGGCTGGGGCCAGAGTTTAACCAAAATTTTCTCCCCACGTGCTCACAGCTTAACTGGGCATGCACAACCACAGCATTCGAACGGTGGAGCGGTTCCTTACTAGGTTTTTTTTTTTCTACAGGCTCAACACAATGGACCTCGAAAACTTCCCTCCTGCTAGGTACAGCAATGTCCTACGGTGTGTACTATGTGCCATTTCTGAACATCAGGAATTAGTTCCAGTGAACCTTCATGGAGCAGGAGTGCTGTGAATCCTCGGTATGCGGGGGCACAGAGAGAAGCTGAAATCACTTTAAACTGAAATCAGGGGTTTAAGGAAGATGGCATGCTCAGCAGGGTTTTTATTCTTTCTCTTTTTTTAAATCCCCCCTTTCCTTTTGCAGTACTTAGCAAGAAACACAACACCTGCCATAATGTATTAGGTCAACAGCCTTTTAACTCTTATCATCTACCTGTCCCGGTAACGCACACTGACTATGGGGGGGAAATAGGCCCAAACAGCTGGCAAACTGTGCAGTTACACCCTGAGCAATGGAGCTGGGTGCTGGGTACAAACACACCCTTGTAGCGCCTTAGAAAATGCAGCTTCCTTTGCCTTCCTTCACAGTCAACACTTCTGACATCTTGCAAGCCTAACAAGCCTCTGCTTTCCACACTGCAAATCCTCTGGGACCCCAGTGCATGTGGAAGGGAATGGGCACACGCAGTTTCTGTGGCCTTCAGCTGCCCCTTAAAAACACAGCTGGAAACCGAGATCTCTCTATCTGCCCACCCTTCCCAATCCTAAAAATCAGTCATTTTTACAGCCCTAAGAAAATGTTCTCCACTCTGCTGTCTGTGGGAAATTCTATGATCATTAAAGCAGCTCTACTTTTTGATAAAAGCAGAGGGGCATGATTGCCCTTACCCTCTAATCTCAAGGAAAGACCCAATATACAGGGCTTTACCCACCACTTCTCTCCACAGTTCAGAGGCTTTGGTCTGATCATCATCAGCTGAATCAGTATGAGCTGACTGGTCAGGAGTATCATCCAGCTACCTTTGTCTCTCTCCTGTACCAACTGATGATGTGCTTGCTGTCTTCTGTCCAACTTAAAGATGCTGGAAGTTTCAGTACCAACACATGTGTGACAGCCTACAGTGAGCCCTTGCAGCCGCTTGCAGCTCAGCAGACTCCTGCTTTCTGAAGCCACCCATGTGGATCACACACTGCAAACAAATGCTAACAAGAAAGGACAAGCCCAAGTGGTTTGCTTCTTTTCCACATCAAACATTGAGTCTGGAAAATTTGATAGATGTTCTGTGCATGAGAAACTGACTTAGTGAGCAGAAAAACAAGTAAGAAACCGCATGCACCCCAAATACAGGGAGTACATTCAGGTGACCGAGAAGTTTCTATCATTCCCATGTTGTCATCCCAGATTCTCGGGCTAGAACATTGCTCCTGCTAATAAATATTTATGCCTTCAGTCTCTCTGCCCCGGGAACAGAAAATCCTATGCCGTTTGCAGATTCACTCTGGCTCAAGCTGTACCACACTAGGTTATCCTGAGAAATGCAGCTGTAAGCAGCAGGCTTCTGGGGAGGGGACTCTGATGTCCACAGGTGGGTATGTAAAAGCACGATCTCACAGTGTTTTGGACAACAGGCCTCTGCAGCCTCTAGGTCTCACTCCAATATAGACATGAAATATCTATGAGCACAAAGCACTTAAAAAATACTACTGGGAACAAAACCACTGGGAACCAATATGTGCATAGCCTATGTGAGAAACGGCCTAAAAGGAGAGGCTCAAAGGCAGTGAGATTTATAGTGGATCAAGATGAATCCACTTGATGAACAATGGTCAGTAATAGCATGTTCAGCAAGAGAAAGGAAAGCGTCACAGGGGGATGTATGGCAGGAATGGAACCTGCAAACCTCACAAAAGACTCTCTCACGCTCTCCTCCACATACCTCAGGCTTCAGCTTAAACACATAGGTTTGGAGCCCATTATTTCAAGGAAGATGTAATCCCCTCAGCAGTCCTATAGATAAAAGCTAGAAGCTACAACCATCCAGGAACATTGGAAGAATGGGGTTGTTCAGAGAAGAAAGGGGAAGACTAAGGAGGGATACAATAGCTGTCTTCAGATACAGAAAGGGCTGCCATAGAGAAAAAGGGAGTAATTTTTTTTTTCATGTTTCTGATCACCAGAATAAGAAACTATTACCTTAAATTGCAGCAGGGTTGTGAGGAAATATCAGAGAAAACTGTAGAGGTAAGGCTAAGGAGCTGTACATTTGCCTGATGAAGTTGTGGAATTGCTGTTGGAAGCCCAGGTTAGAAACCGATTTGTCACACAGAAAGTCAACAGAGCTGATGTGGTTTTGGGGCAGCCCGATTTGGATTTGGTGCAAGCTGGTAAGATTCCTGATCTTTTTAGGTCCCTTCCCCCATCTGTCTTAAGAAGAGAGGAGCCTGCTTCTAAGCCAGACTCATTTAGGCAGAACACCAGTTTATCCCGGGAACAAGAGGTTCTCCAAACTCCCCTACCCACTGCCAAGGACCATGGCTGGCCTTCACCTTCTCCCTGAGTAGGCTGAAGAAAACCATCTTTTTTCTAAGTCTCACATGTTAAAGGAACTCCAGAAGCACACGGTGACCAGAGCAGAAGGCTCCCAGGAAGACGTGGTTGTCACTGTTCATCAACATGTGCACGCTGCTGGATCCAGAGCACTAACCGCTCATCTCAGCATCACCAGCCCGTACCAAAGTGAAAATAAATGGCATTTTGGTGACACAGTGACTGATGCACTGAAATACATTGATAGCTACTGACTCAGTTTCAACAAAGCGATAAACAACAACTGTTTATTGACTTTCTACTAGCTCTGCCAATGCACCAGTTACAACATTGCTGTTTTTCTTTTCTGAGCAACTGCTGAACAGATCTTATTTAACAGTAACAAATTAGGCCTGCAATATCCACTACAAGATCCAGATTTTGAACTGGATTCATTTATAATTGTAAGACAAACTGGTATTTGAAGCCATTTTTTTCAGCAATTGAAAAGCCAGCAGGGTTAATATTGCTGCATGATTAAAACCTCAAGTCATATTAATTAAATTGAACCAGAACGTCACTAAAATGACTTTTTACTGTGTACGCCTGCAATTGGGGTAGCTCAACTCACTGGCAGGTAACAAGGAGTTCAGATCTTTGCTTTGTTTCAAATGGGGGCAGAAGAGAAGTGCCAGTCTGCCTCTGTGTGCCGCAGTGCTTGTGCTGAAATGCTCCCTTGGAGACTTGGCTGCGAAGGGTCTGCCCGACTGCCACATTCAAGCTGAACAAAATGCAGCAAACAGAAAGGTGTAAGCTGTGGAAAGGGAACAAGATGTTTCAGAGGTCTGTTTTCCTCATCAAAAATGGTATTTGCAGCACAAGGAAGAAAGTCTCTTTTTTTTAGATTATGATGTATGACTAATCCTGGGAGTCTACGGTAACAGAGGAAGCACCAATTCAGTATGTAGACCAAATACTTTGGGAAAGCAACTGAGGGACAAGGAAGAAAAATGGGAGTAATTACATGATTTCTGTTAGATTTCCCTCCGACAAACCAGTAGCACAAGCAGCCCCCGGTCCTTTCC